CCCATTTTTCCCAAAATCCCTGTTTTTTTCCCCATTTTCCCCGTTTCCCCCCGTTTTTTTTTCCCGAAATGCCGTTTTTTCCCCCCATTTTTCCCCCGTTTTTTCCCCCGTTTTTCCCAAAATCCCCATTTTCCCATTTTTCCCCCGTTTTTTCCCCCGTTTTTCCCCATTTTTACCCATTTCCCCCCATTTTTCCCCGTTTTTTTCCCGAAATCCCAGTTTTTCTCCCCAGAGCTGCAGGGCCGCTCGCTGCGGAGCTCGCTGCGGTTCAACGGCCCCGGGGGGGGGAGGGGCGGCAGCGGCCCCGCCCCCCAGGAGGGACCCACGGTGAGAATCCCCAAACTGGGGGGAAATCCCCAAAATCCCCGGAGTTTGGGGGAAATCCCAAAAAATTGGGAAAAATTAAACAAAAAATTGGGAAAAATTCCAAAAATTTTGGGAAAAATCCCCAAAAAAAATTGTGAAAAAAAAAAAAAGTCCAAAAAAATTTGGGAAAAAATTCCAAAAAAAATTGGGAAAAATTCCCATTAAGAAAAAAAAAAAAAATTGGGGAAAATTTGGGGAAAAATTCCAAAAAAATTTGGGAAAAATTCCCATTAAAAAAAATTGGGGAAAATCCCCAAAAATTTGGGAAAAAATCCCCAGAAAATTTGGGAAAAAAATTCCAAAAAAATTTGGGAAATATTTCCATTAAAAAAAAAATTGGGGAAAATCCCCCAAAAATTTGGGAAAAAATTCCAAAAAATTTTGGGAAAAATTCCCATTAAAAAAAAATTGGGGAAAATCCCCCAAAAATTTGGGGAATCCCCTAAAAACTCCCAAAAATGAAAAATTCCCATTAAAAAAAAAATTGGGGAAAATCCCCCAAAAATTTGGGAAAAAATCCCCCAAAAATTTGGGAAAAATTCCAAAAAATTTTGGAAAAAATTCCAAAAATTTTGGGAAAAAATCCAAAAAAATTTGGAAAAAATTCCCATTAAGAAAAAAAAATTGGCAAAAATCCCCCAAAAATTTGGGAAAAAATTAAAAATAAATTAAATAAAGGGGGGGGGGGAACCCAAATTTGGGGGAAAATTTAAAAAAATTGTGGGAATTTGGAAAAAAATCCCCCAAAACCTGGGGGAAAATCCAAAAACAAAAAATTGGGCAAAAAATCCTAAAAAATTTGGGGGAGGATCCCAAAAATTGATGGAATGGGGGAAATAAAAAAAATAAAAATCAGTGGGAGGAGGAAAAAAAGATTTTTGGGGTGAAAATGGGAATTTTGGGGTGAAAAATGGGAATTTTGGGGTGAAAATGGGAATTTGGGGGTGAAAATTTTGAAGTTTGGGGTGAAAATGGAAATTTTGGGGTGAAAAATTTGAATTTTGGGGTGAAAAATGGGAATTTTGGGGTGAAAATGGGAATTTGGGGGTGAAAATTTTGAAGTTTGGGGTGAAAATGGAAATTTTGGGGTGAAAAATTTGAATTTTGGGATGAAAAATGGGAATTCTGGCGTGAAAAATTTGAATTTTGGGGTGAAAAATGGGAATTTTGGGGTGAAAAATTTGAATTTTGGGGTGAAAAATTTGAATTTTGGGGTGAAAAATGGGAATTTTGGGGTGAAAATGGGAATTTTGGGGTGAAAATTTTGAATTTTGGGGGAAAAAATGAGAATTGGGGTGAAAAATGGGAATTTTGGGGTGCGAATTTTGAATTTTGGGGTGAAAATGGCAATTTTGGGGTGAAAATGGGAATTTTGGGGTGAAAATTTTGAATTTTGGGGTGAAAATTTTGAATTTTGGGGTGAAAATGGGAATTTTGGGGTGAAAAATTTGAATTTTGGGGTGAAAAATTTGAATTTTGGGGTGAAAAATTTGAATTTTGGGGCGAATCTCAGGGAGTTTGGGGTGAATTAATGGGATTTTTGGGGTGAATAATTTGAATTTTGGGGTAATTAATTATAATTTTGGGTATTTTAGGTGGGCCACAGGAGATTTTGGGGTGATTTAATGCATTTTTAGGGATAAGCCTGCCCCAGGTGCTCCCACCTGGGGATGTGGCTCCAGAAGAGATTTTGGGGTGAATAAATGGATTTTTGGGGATATTTTTAGGGTGAATAAATGGATTTTTGGGGATATTTTTAGGGTGAATAAATGGATTTTTGGGGATATTTTTAGGGTGAATAAATGGACTTTTGGGGATATTTTTAGGGTGAATAAATGGATTTTTGGGGATATTTTTAGGGTGAATAAATGGATTTTTGGGGATATTTTTGGGGTGAATAAATGGATTTTTGGGTATTTCAGGTTGATAGAACTTGCCCCAGGTGTTCTCACCTGGGGGTGTGGCTCCAGAAGAGATTTTGGGGTGAATAAATGGATTTTTGGGGTAAATAAATGGATTTTTGGGTATTTTTTAGGTGGACAGGAGCTGCCCCAGGTGCTCCCACCTGGGGATGTGGTTCCACAGGAGATGTTGTGTATATTTTTGGGGTGAATAATTACAATTTTGGGTAATTTTTAGGTGGACAGACCCTGCCCCAGGTGCTCCCACCAGGGCATGTGGTTCCACAGGAGATGTTATGGATATTTTTACTGTAAATAATTACAATTTTGGTTTATTTTAGGTTGATAGAACGTGCCCCAGATGCTCCCACCTGGGCATGTGGTTCCACAGGAGATGTTGGGGATATTTTTGGGGTGAATAATTTGAATTTTGGG